CCCTGCTTTTCACCCACCGAAAGCACTAACGTTGCATCCAAAGTCACCTTTAACGACCTTTTACACGCTCAACGTCACATGCAGCCATTTTTATCGTCTTAATCCTGTCACCCAAAGTCATTTTAAAGCACAAAGTCCACTTCCAGTGCAGTTTTTTTTTTTTTTGAAATAACCATTGCAAGTTGTACTTACTTGGAGAAGAGTGTATTCACAGCGGGGAGGGGAAAACAAAGCGGTAATCAGTTTTTGTCCAAACAACGAGCCCGAGTAGAAGGAGCGAGTGGTGTCCTGAAGCGGCTGTGTGTGTGACGGAGAGCTGACAGCCGGGCCGCCTCTTATAAAGTGTCTCATTATGGAAGAGACAAATCCCGCCCCGGCGGCCCGGCCCCCTCCGCATATAGACACACGCTGCGGAAAGGCGCGTCGTTGCCGTGGTAACAAGCCCTGTGTGTTTATGGAATCACTGTTTTGCTAGTAGTAGTAGTAGTAGACATATGGTTTCCAGGACACTTTTTTGGAACTTTAATAAAAAAAAAATAATAATAATAATAAAATAAAAAATAAAAAAAGAAGAAGAAATGCAATTTTATAATTTCCAGCTATGCTTGATCAGTTGATGTTTTTGTAATTCCGTAGTGTACAATCCTCCTATTTGGTCATGTCTCCATCACATTAGGCTCCAGCATGCCTATGACCCTCGTGAGGATAAGCGGATTAGAAAATGGATGGATGGATGGAATAATCCATTATTCGGGTTATGTGATTGAATTAACTCCTTTAGTTTAGAAAAATATATTTAGTTAAAACAGACAACAGTCATTCTTTGAAGGCACAATTTTATTTGGAAGTAAATCACACCTGGCTCAAGGTCGAGTCCTGGTCCAAGGTTGAGGGTTCGAGGGATGAAATGAGGCTGCATTCAAGTCTTGCTGGCCCCTTTTTATTTTGAATTCCGACATGGTACCGATACCGTAGTGTGCTCTTGTCATTTTCTGAACCGGAAGACAACATCATAACATTTATCATCTCCCGGGTGTACCGTACAAACGCGTTTCCATGTTCCAAGTTTGCGCTGTAATGTTCTGATGATGCTGGCCAGCCGGGGGTCTCCTTCCCCTTGATTTGTAGTTTCCATGGAAATAAGAAACATAAACATTAAAGGTTGTATCATGAGCCGGGTGACTCATGGCCCATGTGAACGTACTTCCTACGCTAGCTTGCATGTGTGTAGGGTCCTCCCCTCTTGTTTGATATGACTCATTCCTCTTGTCGCCGCTCTGTGTGTGAATGTGTGTAAAAATATCCACCAGTGTTGCTCATCGCGACGCAACGAGTGGAATTCCAGGAAATGTGCAAGGAGCGGTCAAACTTGTAAATACTCCCAAATATTTGCAGTCGCGGATCCTCAGTCGGCCGAGTTCCTCATAAAGACAGGAAGTGGCGCGCGCTTCCTGTCGCTTACGAGTCGCTAAAAACACACAGCGCGCTCATTTTCGCCGCTAAGACGCGTCGACATCAACGCTCTTCGCCGCGCTCGTGTCAGAATCGAGCCGAGCGCGAGCCTTGAAGTGGCCGCCGACGGAGTGCTGTGATTGCCCGGCGAGCCCGCGGGGAAGAGCGGCGAGAGAGCGAGCTTCCCCTCGGCAGTAAAACGCACGCCACCGTCGCCTCTCGTTAAATGTTTTCCATGCCTTATATGTCCATGTTTGCACAGTCACGGTCCTTGCTGCTTGAGATCTTCAAACGTTCCAGGGATGCATCAGAACATTGTTCGATTTTTTTCATTAAAGCCTGGCCAAGGTGATTACGGGGAAGCCCCCTCAAATATCCAATATGGATGGCTGCATTGCTTGGGGGGGGGATGAATGTCCTTCAATTCATTTATGGCTTGCCGAGGTAGTCATAGGCAACCCCGGAAGGGTGGCGCAACTGAGCGGGGATGCGGATTTGGGGTGGTGTGCAAATGTCGTGCTAGCTACATCCACCCACCAGCACGGACGGGATTGCTGTTTTCGAGGCATGTTGCATAAGTAGTTCTGGGTTTCAGGCTTGCAAAGGTAGCCCGGAAAGGGTGGGGCCCGGTGGCTCTGGGGCGCTTTTGGGCGCCACGCGAGACGAACTCAATGTTAACTTTCTCCGTTGACAAGCATTAGCATACGCTGTATTGTATGCAGGCCCTCTTGGGAGCATAACAACAGTGTGAACCATTCTTTTGTCGCTTTCTGTTAGCACAAGAACAATGACGTTAAATAATTAACTGTTCAGTCCACCAAAATCGGAAAATGTAGCAAGAACGTAGGCAACCTGTCGCGACCTTTTTAGCACCGATGCTAAGTCAACCAATATCATGTTCTTACCACACATTGTGTTAATAATTCACAAGCTAGCACCTAAATATTGGACATACCTTGCGAGCCATCTTGACAGTCCTAAGTAGAAAATCAATCGAGGTCTTTTGCGCTCCGAGACAACTGAGTGGAGTGAGTGATTGATTGATTGATAGAACTCTTAATTAATCAATAGAGTTCTTGCTTTGGCATGGAGCTTAAATCGAGTTGGCGTTGTGGTCCAAGCTATTTCGCTGTCGCATTTGAACAGGAAATTGAAATGCGGAGGCGGACAAGAGATGCGTACTTGTTTGTTTTTACCTTGTCGTCACATTTTAATCAGACCAGACCAAACACGAGCGCGGACGCGTGAATCGCCATGACCACCCTGTCTTGTTTCATAGCCAAGCTTTGTCATCGCGATCGAGTTTCATGGCAAATGGCTGAAATTTGCCTCAAACGGTCGCAGCAAAATGGCAGACCGATTGTCGTTTCTGCCGTGGCTTTTTCACATTTTAGAAGTCAGCCCGCGAAGAGTGAGGAAACATGTCAAGTAGTCTTGTCCCAATCGTAAGGCCGTTGGGAAGGGAAACCGCAGGGTGCTTATCTTTTCGTCTTAAGGCTTCCTCGCCTCGTCTGCTTTCTCAGTAACGCTCAAGCGGCCACTCGAGGGGCTCCTTCCACGCCGTGGCCGCGCTCCAACAGCCACAGGAAGTTCCCATGATCGTTCCCAACGCTTGCCCCCGGAGTCTGACGTGAACCACGACGGGAGAGCGCAAGGGAGGTCCCTGTTGCATGCTAACAGCGAATGTACCAGTGGAACCACTTGATGACAAATGACAATGATTTCTATTACCGTCCAGGTTTTTTTTTTTAACGTAAAATGGGTGCCTTGGTTCTGCAGAGGTATATCAATGGCTTTTTTTTGGGAACCATTACCTCAAGTAATCCGTCACAATAACAGAATCTGACATTAATCAATGTTTCTTCTTCTTTTTTTTTTTTTACACTGGCTCTGTTTGTAATAGAACTGCACCCAGGCAACTCACTCGCTTTCCCTCTCAAGTCTCTGCCATCGGAATGTAACGATGCAAAATAACACGCGGCTGTTAAAAATAACCCGCCAATATGTTTAGAGCGTCGCAAGGATTCCAGCGTACATTCCGCATGTACGGGAGAAGGGAGGCCCTGGTCGGGGGGGCGTCAGAGGAGTGCCTATTTGCGTCCCACCAAAAAGGACACGCACAGAAACACGTTTTCATTCCCGGCCTCCTGGGAAGACCTTCTCGAAAAATTCTCTGTATTTTGCGAGCTCGGATAAGGTTCGTCTGCAGTAATTTCATCCTTTTTTTTTTTTGCCCCAAGTGTTTTGAAAGTGATTACACTGTTTGTAGCCTCTCTGGGTTGTGGGGCAAATACTTGCACATGATATCTCTGGATTGCTATTGATAGGCTGCGCTGCGAGCCGCCTTCTGTCCACAACTCATTTCATTTTCTGGAAATTTCAAACAATGCAGGGTCTTCGTGGTAGCCTCAGTTGCTTGTCGGCATTTATGACAGAAATGAATCATGCTCATTGCTTGGTTAGCATTGTAGCATCTACAGGCCTTCCCCAAAGACCCCATCTTATCTGCTTTGCTCTGGAATGTTCTCGGGTGTGCATGTACACACGCACCTCGATTGAACACACACGCGTCGAGGACGCCATGTAGCTCCCGGTGTTGAGAGTCACACTCAGTACTGTTTGCACAGCACGGGAACAGCGGGGCTGTAAAATATTACACCCAAAGCAAAGTGCAAGTGGCACACTCACGCAAATACAATGGCACCACACACACACACACACACACACACACACACACACACACACACACACACACACACACACACACACAAGCAGTCACAGCGTTATCAGTTTTATCAGTGCAGTCGCTCCCTCCGGTGTCGCAAACGACGAAAACTGCACCGCAATCACGCCCGCGCGTTTAGATTTGTGCCTGCTCATCTATTGATTTTTAAAAGCATTAGTATGCTGCCACCGTCCGCAATCCCGGCCCCTTGCGCTCGGGGCGGTGGCGGCGACTCGATCACGGCGTGGGTCGGGCCCCGGCGGCCGGGGCGGCGTGGATTGGTGTGCGGGCGGGGCCGATTGCGGCGTCTCCCTTGGAGGCTAAATGCTGAGTCATCGTAAAGCCGCTGATAAAGATGCAAGTTGCTGTGTGTGTGTGTGTGTGTGTGTGTGTGTGTGTATACACGTCGGCCTTGACCATGTAGTGACGCTCAGGTGAGATTAAGATGACAAATGTGAAAGAGTTGTCACTGCATGTGTGTGTGTGTGTGTGTGTGTGCGTGCGTGTGTGTGTGTGTGTGTGTTGTGTGTGTGTGTGTGTGTGTGTGTGTGTGTGTGTGTGTACAGAGGATTTTTTTTGGACACATGACGATGCTATTAAAAGATTTTATTTCTGATACATTCAACCTAATGTTATTATTATTATTAAGTGAAGTAATTCTAAATCCAGCTGGCAAAAGCAACACAAATGACACATAATAGCATTGTTATGGATTTAAATGTGACAAATGCTAAATTGTGCGTCATTTATGCGATTGTTTTTCCTCACGCCGTTTCCATGGAGACAGCAGAAGCCTTAAAAATGATGTCAACATCAAAACTGAACCGTTGATCTTACTGAGGGAATTTGTTCTGCTTTTGTCATTCTTGGAAGCGTCAGGCTGCTGTTTGCCATGGCAACAGACGCTGAAACTGGGGAAATGATGAAATCGGTTTTGTTTTGTCAGAAGTCGCTGTGGATCAATCAAAACTGAAAGTAGAGAGCAGAATGTAGCCCAAAAAGTTTTTCAAATAAATATAACGTATTCAGTGTCGCCTTATCAACCAGCTGATTATTTCTCTCGGTAGAGTGAGAATCGTTTTCCGTCGTGACAATCGAAGCTGAACACGATTTGTTTGCCACGGGAAAAATAAAAAAAGAATGGAAAAACATCCTTTATAGCATTCTTTTTTCTTTTTTCATGAAACACACACCAAAATGTCAAGTCACACGTTTCGTTTTCACACAATCACCTCCGCACGGCTTGTAAGTCGCTCAAGTGTCCACGAAATATCGTTCAAGTGTATCCGGTGAGTCGCGGTACGCTGGGGAAGGTTTTGCGTATGCTCATGCACTTCTCCTGGTCCAGGAAAAGCGAGTTGACCTTGATGGAGAGGTCGTGCTCCAGCGTCACTTTCGTTCTCAGCAGAGACTGCAGGCTGCCCTCGGCGTCTAGCAGCCTCTCCTGCAGCTTGCGGATGGTGTCTTCGATCTCCCGAACCTCCTCCACCAGCCTGGGCATGTAAGGCGGGTGTTAGAATATGGCCCGATTAAAGTAAAAAAAAAAAATTTTTTTTTAAATGTGGCCCTGATACCTGTGATGCGGGTTATCCCTGCAGAGCTCCACGTTGGGCCGGCGGGTGCGCTCCTCCAGTCTGGTCTGGGCCACCTTGAGTGGGTTGTCTTTGTCTCGCAGAGCTTTCTTCAGGGACTCGATGAGCATCTCCGTCTGGAAAATCTCTTGCTGGGTCTGCGTGATGCCGACACCAATGAGATAAACGGCGAACAACAAAGCGCTGCAGTGTGCTGGCTCTTGAATGTGTTGGGATGAAGTTTGAGCTCTAATTTCGTAATTGTCGAAATTGACTTCATGGTGCACCGCGTTTGGCTGCTTTCCTAATATAAAGACGTTTTTTGTCTTGCCAATATTGTCGTTTTTTTTTTTTTAAAACGCAGTTGGTTTCATTCACCCCCACCGCCCAAATTCTTTGACAGTTAATTTCGTTTTTTGGCGACCAATTGATTGTCTTTTGAGTTTTGGGGGTTTGTTTATACTTGAAATTGAAATGTAACTACTTCACAATTAAAAAAAAAAATATTTGACGACCAATTGATTGTCTTTTGAGTTTTGACTGTTTTTGAAAGGGTTTGTTTATACTTGAAATTGAAATGGAACTACTTAACAATTAAAAAAAAAAAAATCAAATAATTTATCTTTATTTTTCTATGTAATATAAAGTCATGTATTTTTAACATACAGTACATTCGTTTTTAAAGGGGCAGCAAAGTCGCCTCACAGTTCCTGTGTTTTCATGAGTTTTTTTAAATTGTCTCTAGGTGTGAACGCCAGCATGAATGGTTGTCAGCCTTGTGATTGTCCACCCCAGGGTTTATGATGCCTCTCGCCCAATGTCAGGGACGATAAACTCCGGCTCACCTTTGACCCCAGTGAGCCAATGATTTGAGTGTAGAACCGGCACCCTCCTCAATCACTGATGACACAAAACAAGCGAGATTGTGATGTGGACCTTGGTGAGGTGCGCCTGTAGGCTGTTGCGGGCGTCGGCCGTCTGTGCCACGCGGCTGGTGAAGGACACGTTGACGTTGTTGAACTGGCTCCACATTTCGCTGGAGGTGCCGTTGAGCAGCGCCTCGATCTCATCGCGCAGTTTGCGGGAGGCGGCGCGCTGGCCCTGCGAGCGCAGCACGTTGTTGTCGGTGAACTTGGACCACGACTCGGGCAGTGAGACCCTGCGTCCAAATAACCGGACAAGCGACAACGTTGACAATCTTTGAAACGCAGTGGTTTTCGTCGATCGCCGCTCACGAGGGGTCGAGTCGTTCAATGCCGCGGAAGAAGCCGATGCCGTCTGACGTGTTCCTCAGGTGATGGCAGCGGTCGTCTATCCTCTGCGCCGTCACTTTGTCGCTCAGGTCTCGTTCCAGCTCGTGCTGCGCCGCGCGGTTCAACCTGTTTAGTGGCTCACGCGCAACAAACCGACAAATATCAAGACAAATTGACGTGATTGCCCATCCGTTGCAGCCGCCACGACGAGACTCACGCCAGCTGGGCCGTGGCTCTCTCCAGATGTTGCTTCATCCTTGTCTGACAGGACTTTATGACCTCCACTTCCTGTTTGAATCCGTGCGCTTCAGTCATGACATTTTATTCTTTTATTTCCATTTTTCACCTTGATCAGGTCCTTCTCGACGTCGTCGTGGACAAGGTCGATGGCCATGCGCTTGTCGCGGTGGTACATACATTCCTGTGACACCTGGTGAAAAGTTAACACACCTTGATGCTAACGGCTAACATACTTCTTAGTCTCCAGTAACAATACCTCAATATTGTATACGGTAGGCAAACTGTTCATGAAGTTGGCTGACTTTAAAGTGTGTCCAAAACAGGCTAAAAAGACCCCCAGATGCACCAAAGATGCTAGTTTGTTTCAGTTTGACACCTGATGGCCAGTTAGCACATTTTCCTGCTAACGTCCAACGGCCTACATTGCGCTAATGCATCAGAATTGTTTATGTATGAACATAGCAAAGCTGAGAGAGAATGTCATCAGTATTCCGGATACTTGAGAGTGTTCAGGTGACAAGTTAGTGTCTTAATGCTAATGGCTAACATCCTGTGCAGTCAATATTGGACCCAGGACACAATTTTGATGCAGTAAAATCAGTAGGTGTCGCAAAAACAAAACAAAACTGATGGACATTTTTTGACAGTAACTCGTACAGACACACCCGATGACAAGTTAGCGTGTCTTCATGTTCAAAGTTAACGTTCTGTCCTGTGTTAGTAAATCGGTATTTTATTTGGTAGGTCTAGAAATATTGATGTCAAGGTAGATGATTTGGCATTGCACCAATATTGACGGACAATTTCATACGCTTACTCCTCTGTAATTAAAATGAGCGGCACAACTTGCCTGTGCTACGTCGCCCCCTGTTGTTTCAGTAGAGCTGACAGTGGAATAGCAAGGCTTAGGTAACCCGCATTCAAGATTTTGATTTACAAAGTAATTTCAATCAACAACCTTCGTCATTTTATCTCATCCCGAAGACGCGATTGAATCTCCGACGTCATCTGTTGTCAACCCTCACCTGAAGGGGCCGCTCGGTCTCGGCCAAGGCCCTCTCCAGCCGCCGCTTGACCTCTGCCAGCGCCACGGTCTCTCCCGCCACGTTGTCCACCTCGTGGCTCAGCTCCGAGCGCCAGAAGGCGATGTCGTTGAGGCGCTCGCCGATGTCCTTGCTGGTGTTCTCCTGCATGCGTCGCGTCAGCTGCTCCTTGTCCTGGATCAGGCGCATCGTGTCACGCCGGAGCCGCTCTGCGCTGTGGCGAGACGCCTCTGACTGGCGGTAGTTGCCCTGGTTGGACTTGAACCAATCGTCGGGTGTGTAACGGGTGCTCATTGTGCTCCGGTTAGCTGGGTAGGACATGGTGACTGTGCGGAGGAGATCTGGGATGGCTCGTTGCAAAGTGGGGACGGTGCCATCGTTCTTGTGGTAGCTGCTGGTACTCCACTGGTTGGTGTTGTGGCCAGCGGGCCGCGTGTTTCGGTAGCTGGACGCCATGGTGGAGATGGCGGGCAGGAAGTGACCCGTCTTGGGTCGAACGTATGATTCCGTCATCTCCATGCCTAAAAATCTACTTTAAGACATGTTCCTTTTAGCGACAGAACTTGGAGCTTCCCTTTCTCTGTGTCACTCACCTGCAAAATGAGCTCAAGTCCTCCGCAAGGTGATGGCACATGCATAATGCATTGAGGTATTCCAAGTGTCCAAGTCATTCATTGGCCAGGCCAGCCAATGGCAGCGTCAAGTGGCCGGTCCAAGATTTCTGTTGACACAATGCTGGTTGCCGCGGGTTACCGCCGCCCTCCCCGGCGGGCCGCGTTCATGCTGAGCAGGTGCTTTTACTTTGTCAATACAAGAAGCTGAAAGGCCCCCTCGAGTGTAAAATGACACAACCTTGCACTTGAAAAAGCTACAGTACAATGTAACACATTAGGATGCAGTTTATACAACATGCACTTCGCGTGTACTCATGTACACAATGTGCAGAATGTCCCGCATACTTTTATCAGTTTGGAGTTGCGCTAAATGTTATAGAGAAAATGCATACCGGTACATTTAATAAAAAAATAGCGAACATCAGCATGATAATAATTGATTCTGATTTGATGTGGTAGGAAACGACATCACTTTTTTTTTCTAGAAAATGATCAAATTAACTGTACACTGAATAAAACTGAAAGAAAAAAAAAACAATAATAATAATAACAATAATAATCATGTTTTTATGGTAAATGGGACGACAAGCAATCTGAGCTGGCAAGCAAAGCGCCGAGCTGTCCGTTTGGGTTACACTCAGCAGTTGAATAATTGATGCGGCAGGAAAAGGACACGCAATCATAATCTGTGTTGAGTTACACATCAATGTTGGAAATGAGGATCATTTACACCAACGTCTTCTCGGGAGCTTTTGCAACACATGCTCTAGAAGATTTTATACCTTAAAGCTGCACGATATGGGGCAAAAATGCCGATGGGCCTTTGCCCTGGCAGTCCCAGCAAGTGCCCGGTCGAAGCTCCGTTAGTTCACATTTCGACCATATATAGTTGTGATTTTCTTCCTGTTCCCATTGACTCTCCTATCTTCTTTCTGTCATTGGGTGTCTGTCATTAGTTTTCACCAGGATAGCTTGTTTTGGATCGAGGCACGTTAGTTTATTTTATTTTGTCGGCGGTGGGCTAGGCGTGACGTGAAATAAAAATCGGAAATTGGCCATTTTGTTTTGAGGCAGACTTTCTGAGCTCATTTTTGGGCCCTTGGTCAAGCCCCCCGTTTTCATAAACATGGCGGCTTGTTTTTAGAATGGAATGAAAAGTCTCAGCATCGCTTAACATGGCAAGGTGAAAGAAGCCCCAACACGCACGTAGAGACACGCCTGTCCCACCGTGCCCTCGCTGGCTATAAATATAACGCCATCCAAAGAAAGTTACGAATAAGCCAGCCCTCCATGAAATTCCTCCTGTGAGTGCAATAGTCGTTGGAGAACGTCAGAGAAATGTTCCAGCCGTGTGTATTCTGCAACCGATGCCGATCACAGCAAATCAAACATGCGACGCGGTTCCTGGTTGATGTGTGTGATCGGGGGGGGGGGGGAATTCTCAAATGGCATCAAAAGCAAAAAGTTCTTGTACGACGACTGAATCTTATCAGAGGAGCGAAAAGAAACTTGAGTTTGTAGCCCTAAAATGTGCCACGTGAGAAAAGATACGCCTTAGCAATTAGCGCTAGCATGCTAGCGCACTGGCACAGCGAGTGGATAAATAAATAAATAAATAAATAAATGTCAGAGAGTCATATGTTAGAGTCTGGAAAGTGCCCGCAGACCCCCCCCCCCCCCTCCCCGTCATCCTTGCCGTTTGCGGCCTCTCCTCCGCTCTGCTGCGCTCGACACAGTGCCTCCGATGGAATGTGATGACCACGGAGCGGACAAAGCCCACCATTCATGGCCCCTCGGCCCACTCTGGATGCCCGCAACTGGGAGCCTTGATTTCATGCCCCCGGAGGGGGGGGGGGGTGCCGTGCGGGACAGGGGAGGCTTGTGTCCGCCCCGATGTAACTCATTCTGAAGCATCAAATACACGGGTGAAATTGTTTCAGGCAATTGGAAGGACTTTTTTTAAACAACGCTGGTTGTCCGTCTACTTCCTGTCAAGAGAATCCAGTGCGGAAACATAATAGAGTCTGCGCTGTTGCCATGCGACCAGTTCGAAGCATCTTAGTGGCTGCTCCATTGGGTGTCATGAACACGCAGACAGTCGTTGATGCAGTACACACAGATACAACACGATGAGTATGTTTCACAGTCGTCGTGGAAAATATAGCCACGTCTTTACTAAAGTCATGTTGTTACATATTATGTCCATGTCATGGGCAAAAATTGTTATTCAAGCCAAATTTTTCTCAGCGAAGTATCACCCATCAGTTGATAGGTTGTTTCAAAATCGGTAGACCCAAACGACCACTTTGAAATAAATGAACTCCAATTGGTTGCTTCAAACTAAAACGGCTGACCTCTGCTTCGTTTGACGATGTGGGTCCCTTGGACTTTTTTTGTGCTTTACAAAATCGAGGATCCCTCTGACTTCTTTGGGTGTCCTGTCATGTTAAGGTGTGCCCATCCAGTTGCGGAATAAGTAGTCAAACGAGAAGTGAGTTTGGGGCAATGTTGAAGCGACAAAATAGATGATTCAATCCTGAACAATAGTGCAAGTCCTGCTGTGCAGCCTCTGCCGTGCAAGACACCTCTTTGTGTGCGGAAAGGACATTTGGCCTCAAGCGGTAGCCAATAGACTGCTCCAGCAGGCGATTAAAAGTGACGGAGAAAAATAAATAAATAAATAAATAAATAAAGCACAGTGAAAGATTTAGTACGGAGGAGATTCTCGTCCGAGCATGGCCAGTCGCCGGGCAACCACTGGCCCTAACTGGACAAGCGCAAACTATGGTAGGGGTCTCTATGAGAACGCCATCCCTCGAACTCGATTCATTGCTCTTCTTTCCACTTTTCTGAATGCGGGGCTGGCCCGTGGACCACCTCGAAGATTTTTTTTATCCTGCTCATTTACATTATCCGGAGTTCTGTAAATTTGTTGTATTAATTTAGCCTGTTTTATTTTCCCACCTAAAATTGTTCGATTTTTATTTGTATTCATTTATCTCATTAAATAATTTGACGATACAGTAAATATATTAGGACAATTTTTTTAAAAATGCCCAAACCATGTGATATATTTTATGTAGATCCTGCTAAGTCGTCCCCCCAAAAAGAAAAGAAGAGCTCATAGCTGTGACTTTTCCGAACCATCAAATCTGTAATCGTCTAATGCCTCGTCTACATTTATTGCAAATACCGAACATGGTCGAACTATTTTATTCATGCTTAAGTGAGGACTGTAACCCAAAAGAGTAAAGGTAGCATGAAAACGCAGAGGTTCACTTGCAGTGTATCCACGTCATCTTATTCCGCAGCAAAACATGATAGCTACGTGAAAATGTATCTATCACGTCAGCATCTTCTGCTATCTTCACTTAATCATGAAAAAAAAAGATTTGTTGATACGCGTCGATCAAGGAATGCGTATCTCGAATGCAGCTCACTGTCCACTGGGATGCTTTTCGAAAAGAGTGCAACCTGAGCTCTGCGAGCTCCCGATACAAACAGCTGCTCTCGACGCATTCTCGCCCGCCTTGTGCGCAATCTTGCGCGCGTGCGATGCCAAAGGCCAAAGTGCACGCTGGAAGGTGTCGGATGCGTCGCCAGGCACGCCAGACATGCCCCGATGCCATTTCGCAGCTTCTGATCCTACACTCAAATAGACACGTTTGAGTGCCAATATCAGCCGCGCTGGCTAAATTCCTTCCTCCCGAACAAAAGCGAGAGGGGCGGGAGATTCAGATGCGGCGCTTCTGCATGAGGCGGAGGAGAGGCATTTTTAAAACCAAGGCCTTTTTGTTTCTCCAGGCATTTTCCAACCCCTGCGCCTGAACCTCCCCCACTGAGAGCATGCCGGCCGCCCCGCACAAGCGCTCAAATTGTCCTCCTGCTTCCCAAATTTGGGGCCCGAGTAGAACGAGGTCTTTGTCAAACTATGACCCGGCCGGCCCTATCCATGGTCTGTTTGCCGGATGATGGCTGCTCTTGATCTGTACAGTTGATTACCCAACACCAAACCCTTCGAGTCTACAACAAGGTGGACTAGTAGTTAGCACACCTACCTCACAATTTTGAACTGTTTGAATTTTGACTTGCACCTTCCTGTGTGAAGTTTGCATGTTGCAAAAAAAAAAAAAAAACTCAGTGACACCTCTGAATAATTGTGAATGTGAGTGGGAATGGTTATGTGCCCTGACATTAGCTGGCGAGCAGTCCAACAGTCACCAGCAGCCCTAATGAGGACTAACATTTCTCAAAATGAAGGGTTGTATTTAGTCTGCCAGGCATTGTGTCAGGTGCATAAGCCACGTGAGTGTTTGTGTGTGTGTGTGTGTGTGTGTGTGTGTGTGTGTGTGTGTGTGTGTGTGTGTGTGTGTGTGTGTCGAGATGGCCCACAGCAGCTGGGAATGCCCGTTGACCTCAAAGCGACTCTGCCAAGGTCAGCGAGGAAATCTAAAGCTCGAAAATGGCAACAATCACCGCGGCCGCTGCCAAACCATCAGAAATCCGCGGCACGACCCAAGCATGATGTCATCAACTTCCGGGTAAGTTCTGCAGCTAAATGTCAAGAAATGTGACAGATCCCAAACCGCCGCCACTCTGGGGAAAAAAAAAAAAACCTTGTCCGTCATCTGCCCTGCTGCGCTCGTTTCACAGGGCGACCACCCGAAGACCCGCAGTCACGTGGCTGATCCGAGCCCGACTTGGAAGCGTTGTGCCTCTTCAGCGCCAACCCGCCAACCACAGGCGTGCCCCGGCAGCCCCGCAGGATCGTGTAAACTCACCAGCCAAAACAACATTAGGTACTCGAAGCAAAGAGCAACCAGGAGCAGATCTCAGCTGACTCTCTGCTGGCCTAATCTGAATTTGGTTCATGGAAAAAAAAAACACCACAATGCACAATGATAATCATAATATAAACATAGTGCAGTTGCGCATAGCGTACCCTCTCCAGTTTGGTGTCACCATGAGGGGAAAGTGAAACCCTTGTAATCACCAGTCATTTTATAGCTCATACATCAAGCCAGACACAGATTTTACGATCTCATTTATTCCACTGCTTCAGGGGAGCCGCCGCCATCTTTGCACTTATTGTCCCGCCAGTGCCACAAGAGCTGCCTCTGTGCACTCGTCCGCCTCGCATTCTCCGATGCGCGGGCGGGATGGATCATTGGAGTGACGTCAGCGTTGCAGACGGGGACGCCTGTCGGGAGGGGCGCACGGGAGGGCGTCGGTAGAAAATCCGCCAAGGATGAGCGAAGAACTCATTCAAGGACGGGAAGAAATGGGAGCACTCCGACGCCCCCTGTGGTTCGCAGGTGGAACTTGTACCGATGCGTTTGCTGCTGTGCGACAAAGGCCGACATTGTCCCGGGTCACGTGATGTCGCTGTAAATGATTTCAAGAGGGCGCCATTATTTTTTTTACTACGTTTGCAATCGAGACAGTCACCGGTGGGAAGACTTTTGATGAGACGATCGTTTGCCTTTCGGTTTGAGGAGGTTTGGAAATACAAAATTTACGAGGCTGACGTCTGTCGTAGGGCCAGGTTACGAGGTCGACCCACTTTCGGCGATGTTTGTTTCTCGTTTGTGCTCTTTGGCCTCAAGGTGTTACCCAGGAGATGCCGCTTTAGGTACTCAACTTATGGGAGCAAGCAAGGTTTAAGGTTTTTAAAAAAAATAATAATAATCTGTTAAACGTCTTGTTGGGAGTTTTTGGGTTTGGGTTCAAAATTTGGATTTCAAACAAGGGGTGTGGTTTCAAGGTTTCAAACCAGGATTAGTATGCTGTACGTGGAGCCTCGTAAACCTGATATAGGTTTTGCAGTGTGTCAGGCGATGTATGGTGCTCCGTCGTTTTTTTTTGTTTTTTTGTTTTTTTGGTCCGCTTCTATTGCATTTGGTTCTGCTGCTCGATGTGCGGCGGACCCAAGTGCTTCAGGTTGAGTACACAGTATTGCTCTGAAGCCTCTGTGACACTTGGGTAACACTCTCAATGCACAGCCTGGCCTTTGAGGCCCCGCGGGTCAAAGGTCTTGTCGCTCGTTGGGACGATTGTGTGAAAGTGATATTAGCATAGGCGTTAGCATTAGCAAAGGAATGCCGCGGCTCTTTTCACTCGCTCACTTGTGACAAGACCCGAAGCATCCCAAGCACGTCGGCTCGAATGGGCTTGCACTTTATAAATACCCTCCCCCTAACTCCCTTTCAACATGTCTGACATTCACTGTGTGTTTGTGTGTGCGTGCATACGTGCATTGCTGATTTTTTTTTTAACAACCATTGCATTCCAGCTGTGATATGTGCACAAATCACCACGGCCGCTCTACAAATATCTGATCCATGAATCTGTGCATGTCTCATTTGCTTTTTTTTTTTTTTTTGGCCTTCTATTCAGCAACAAATATTTGCTTTCCAGTGGCCTCAGTGTTCCAACCCTAACTTTAACCCTTCGAATGCCAACATTTGACCATATGAACCCTGAACCCTACTAACCCTTCTAAACCCAACTTTTTTAGAGTCTTCAATCAACCTAACAAACATGATTTGGAAGTATGCATCCAAACTCCACACAGAAGGTCCATGGCTGAGATTTGAACCCTGACCCCGATCACGGCGAGACGAACGTGCTAACCGCTTATACACTGTGCTGCCTGGGATCCTAACCATTTAATTTGTTGTTTTTGTTGATGTTTTATCTGACATTAGCAGTCGTTTGACCTACTGGTACAATAATTGGACTCCAAAATTTTTAATCAGTGGCAGTGGGTGAATTATGTTGGACAAAATGGGAAAGTGTTTTGGGTGTCTTTCTGGATGAATGGTGAATTCCTCCTGGTGGGCGGGGGGGGTATGAGGTGACCGTGTCATGACTGTTTCCACCCAACGTGAGGTCATGGACTTGTGACACGGCACATCCCGTCCGTCAGGCAGCACTTCCTGCTGTCAGCAGATGAGGACCCTCTTCCTTCCTCTGAACGGCCAGTGAATGAACACCTTCGGGTGGGGTTGGATATCGTCACGGGGATGGACGGATGTGTCAATGTACTCTGTCATTCGTGAATGTCATCTATATTGTATGTTACACATACGTACAGAACATTTGACAGTAAAGTTGTATTCAATTCAATGTCTTCCGCCACTTTTGAGACTTGTACAGGGGTTTTTTTCAACAAACGACAATACATTTTTCGAAGGCTTCCTTTTTTTTTTTCCTTGAGCAAGACGACAAACAGCAACGTCAGACATAAAAAAAAATTGTCAGGTTAAAAAATGGCATGATGTGTAGTAAGACTAAAAAAATGGAATTATGTGTAGTGAGACTAAAAAATGACGATGTATAGTAAGACTAAAACATTGGCATGATGTATCATAAGACTGTAAAATGGCATCTTTTTTATGCGCCTCATGTAAAGAGCCTGTAACTCTCTTAATATTCCCCATTGAGTTGTTCCCCGTTAGTGTTCCGATGCCACCAAGTGGTGATTATTAGGAGGAACCAATTGTGACCTAAAAGAGTTCTGCTCGACACTAATTGACATGTCCATTCGCCAACATTATTATATCAGATATAATATCTAGAATATAGAGCCTTCACAATAGTCGAAATAATTAAAGCGGCGTTGTGATTGCATTTCCTGTGCCGTAGCACCATCTAGTGGATGCATAGCGAAACCGCAGCCACAATTGTCTGCCCCTTCAAATTCAGTGCGCCCCGAGTATGTAAACAGTTTTAAAATTGGCCGTTCATTGGAAGTGCATCTTATAATTTGAGGCACCTTGACGTGCAGAAAATACGAGATAGTCAGACAAAAAAAAATCACAAGACTTAAAAAAATGGCATGATTTACACAAAGACTACAAATGGCATGAAAAACTGACATGGATAGTAAGACTTAAAAAAATGGCATGAAATATCGTAAGACGAAAAAAACGGCATGATGTATCATAAGATATAAACAAGGTCGTTTTTTTCGGCAAAAAAATGCCTGAATATACATGGTCTAATTTAGTCCTTATTTACATGATTTTCGTTCAAAACACCTAACTGTACATGGTCGTTCAAAAAAAAAAAAAGCCTTCCCATCCATGGTCATTCGAAAAAGCCTGACGATATAAGCAAACTCTTCAGACGAAGGCCGAGACCTGGATTTGAACCTTGCATCTACTGCTGTTTAGCTGATGCTCTAAGCAGTGGACCACAGTGGCGTTGCTACTCCAAGCTCACAAATAACAACCCAAAATGATCTTTACAAACCTGGTCGTTTTTATTTGTAGGAAAAAAAAATTCGGTTGATACCTCTGCAGATGGTGGCTGAGATCTGGATTTGAACCCTGCACTTCTGCACTGCTAAGCCAACGCACAAACCGGTCGACCACCACTGTAGCACTACTCTTTTGCATTTGTAAGTAACAACCCAAAAAGGTACTCGCATACATGGTTCAAAGAATGCAAACTTTGCAGCGGAAGGCCAAGGCCTGGATTCGAAGCCTGCACCTCTGCACGTGTAAGACGGCATACTAACCAGCAGTCCACGGTGGCCCTGCCATACCAAACTCACAAGTACCAACCCAAAAGGCCTTTTACATACCTGGTCGTTCAAAAAAAAGCTTGACATGCAAACGATGGCCAAGCAATGTTCTCAGTGGGCATTTTAAACTATTTGCCATTGATCAGTGAATGTGTTTATGGAGACAATTTACGAGCATAATTACGAAACGTTGCTCCTTTAATTTGTTGACGATTGCTCACGAAGTAACTGGCAGTTATCTTCAAAACAACATCCACAAAGGTGGCCAGTGATCCTGTGCTGTTCAGTCGGGACACCACCCCCGCCCGCCGACACGCAAGCCTCCCATTCACGCGTTGTGGTAGTTGGGTAAACTTTGTTTTGGAAGTGGTGGGGTGGGGGGGCATGTTGATCGGTGTACATTCCCGAAGACAGTGAATACTTTGAGGGGGAAAAGTTATTGGGGCCCGACAGAAAGTTTTCGGCCCAATATTCAATGAAGTTTGATTTCACCGAGATCATTTGGGTATTGCAGGTTCTTCAGCACCCGGCCCCGTTGGGACCAGCAGAGACCACCCCGCAAGCATCCAGACGAGACTTGCGTCTCAACTTTTCCAGCGGAGTTGCCCTGATCAACAAAGCATCTTGAAACAATGAATAAAGTTGTCTTGCACGTTTGGAAGTTTGCGTATGGGTGTTTTATTTGCACTTTATTCACGATCGCCAATAAAGCAAAATGACACTCTCTCTTTGTGATGCTCGTCTTCAATCTAAAACGAAGCTGGCTTTGCAAACTCTCTCTCCTGATCCCAGGATGGCATTCTGAAGGCAGGCAGCGGTAGGAAATACTGGCGGGGTCGAAGGGTTATGGGTGAGGTTTGTGTGCCTTCACGTCACCAAAAGGCGAAGCTCGTCCGAGAAGTGACCACTCCACGAGAAACGCCAACCGTCTCACCAATTAGATTCTTCGTTTACCTTCAGACTCGTGTGGTCATCCGCCTGTGACTACATATGAAAATTTCGAAATTTTTGTGCCGGAATGGCCTGATGGGAAAAGACATCGCTGAGGATGCAGCCGGACCGAGTTCGAACCCTGTCCCATCTGCTTTACATTTATAAATTTAGCAAGGGTCGAACCCGGGTTTCCCGTCACCTCGTCCGGGGGCGAAATTAGTACCAGAAGCGAACACCCCACGAGAGTTGCCAAAGCGTCTCACCAAACATGTTCCTTTTCGAACTTCTGAACACGCTCGTGTGGCTGGCTGATGCCCCATGATTAGATGTTAAAATTGCGGGTGCTTATATTTATACTGCTGCACAAAATCTTCAACAGCAGGTCCTATTTGATGACAAGAAAGATACGTAGTGGTTAGAAAGCATCACCGTGGAATGATGCTCCAGTGGTGTATGACTGTCATTCCCACCTGGGGAACTCATGTTCGAGCCCGAGAGCTGCCGTTGGCGTTTCGCTCCGTTTTTTTCCACACAATATCTTCACTTCCTGTTTCAAAATAAAGGTTTTTATTTTATTTCCGGAAAAGCCGTCATCAACGGAAACCTATTTAAAGCGGGCCGACAAAGCAATCGTTCTGTCTCACCTTCGACAGCCTCCGCTCGTCCTCGTCTGCTCCTGCTCCGCACGCCTGTCCACACGGAAAACTCCAAAAAGGTGACTTTTTATTCTTTAAATAGCCTCTGAAAACACACGGCTTTCGCTCAATTTGAATGGAAAGCAAAGCAGCACTTTGGACGTGCTGGTACCTGGCTAACGTGCTCAGCAAAAACGTTTGCTCGAGCGTTAGCAATCAATGTCTCCTGCGACCTTACTTTGCAACAAAACCTTTTTTTCCCAACATCCTAGGACGAAAGCGGCGTTTCGCCGAATGGGTAAGTAGACAAAACCCGTTTTCTAAATCCACAATTAAAGCAAAATATTGTGCCTACGTGCGTGCTAATTGTGTCATTTTTGTTCACAGGTACAAATCTTCAAATGGAATCTAACACGGGCCACTCGCTGTGCGTTTTAATGTGGATTGTATGTCCTTAATCGTTTGGAACGAGCCCATCTAATTTGTCTCTTTTCTATCCACAGGCTTTGCATCTGCTACAGAATGGCCAAATTGACTGCAACACGGTAGAACTGCCACATTTTAAGATGCCACCGTACGACAGACTAAATCCCTAATGTGTCGATTCTGATTTCTGTCTACACAGGCTCACATCGACAGAATGACCCATAAAATGGCTGCCATCCTGGCTTCACGAGGCTTTGGGAGGTCTTTTACATGCATACCAAATATCGGGGCACTAAGCCACGCGCTTGCAAGGTTGAAACTCAAAAGTTTACGTGACCGTGTCTGTCAGGCCACCGCGCTGTCGAAGAGGCGTCCAGCTCACAGGAGCTTTTCCTCAACCAACAAAGCTCGTTGACCTGTCGGTTGAGTGGGCGCACTTGTGGCTAAAATAAAATTGTGGCGGGGCTCTTAATTCCTGGCCCTCTCACACTTACCCAAATGGTCAGGATCGTTGTCGAGCTTCCGCAGACCTTGCTGATCATCTGATCATTTGAATCAGCTGTGTTGCACCTGTGAGAAAACGGGCAGCAGAGTGTCACCTGCTTAACATAGGCGTGTTTGTCCTGCTTTTGTCCACCAGATAGTGCTGAAGGACCTGATGCAGGTTGTGAAGTCGAGCCGTCCCTCCTCAACGTTTGGACCTGTTGCAAAATTCCATGCCAAGTCCTTGAACTGTTGCTTGTAGGCAGGCCCTCAGCAAACATAGCATCACGATCCACCTGATGTCACACACAGCGTGACTGAAGTTACACCCAAAAAGCACTGCACATTGAATTTTCAAGCACACTCACCTGCCTTTTCTTTGACTCGGCATGCAGCGCAGCTTGCAGTAAGAGTGCTGCCAGAGATCCTCAAACTGCTGGGCCAAGAGACAAATGCGACAAGCTCGAAGCAGGTCCTCGACGTTGCCGTTGAAAGGTACAAATTCAGAGCTTGATGAGTCCCTTGTTTGCAGTGTTGGCAGGTTTGACCACCTTGGATGAGTTGCTGGACCAGTAGCAGCTTGGCCTATTGGTGCTGATCACGCTAGACCAGCTGTTGCAGCAAAAGGTTCCAGTCTCCAGTTGCTGCGGCAGCGTAGAGTAAAACGGAACTGCGTTTCAGGTTAGGAATTGGTGTCTACTCACCTGTGCCTTGTCATTCAGATGGCGCCTGTGCAATGAGGTGAAGACTCTGAGCCATCTGCTGGAAAGAAGTTGCATTTCAACAAGCATTTGTTCATTTTCCAGAGTTGAAGGAAAACGTTTTTGGGTCCTCTGTGCCGCAAGAGGGGAGGAACCTGCTCACTGCCAGAGTCCACAGTCGAGCAGAAAACACTTTTTGCCCTTCTTCTTACTCTGTTATTTGCAAGGTGCTGAAGCCAAACTTTGCCTGAAAGGCAGGGAGACATTTACACTTGTTCAATGCACCATCATGACTACTTTTAAGTGTCCCCTTCTCGAAGCGGCAATAAACGCGATCCGCTTCCTGCTGATAAAAGACCACACCGCTTGTCTCTCTCGCTGGCAAGTTTCTTGCCAAAAACATCTTTGTCTGTACAACAAATTGACTTGTGTGGAACTCACGGATGTCTTTCCTCAGGTCAACACACCTGTCCCGTGTTCCTCTCACGAGCCGACCACTTCGCTGCCCAGCAACAGACTGCCATCCAGCTTACAACTTTTTCTTCTGCTTTGTCTACTCTGCAAAAGAAATAAAGCTTGATTACAAAGAACACAAACTAAAAGCTAGATTACAAAGAACACAAACGATTCATTCTTAAACACATCACGACAATCTAACTTAAAAAAAAAAACAATCTTAAACATTTAAAAAAAAAAAAAAACAAATTATTTTCAGTTTTTTTCAAAAGTTTTCTTTCAGAATGTTTGTCTTCCGTGCAGGAAAATTCAGGGAAAGTGGGTGAAATAGATGTTCTCTGATTGACCGGGGCATTTGTGGAGCGTGACTATGCAAATATACACCGGTCTTGTTGGTCGGATTCCGGAATGTGAGTGTGGACATGCAAAAACCCTTGATTCTGATTGGTTATGTAAACAACGGCCTCACCGTGATTGGTGGATGTGAAATTCGGTGTGGTTTGGGGCGGGCTTTGAAACAGTATTTCAAAGGCCCACTTGAGTTTTCAGGTCAGACTTGCACTTGGGTCACATCAGACAGTCTCTTCACTGTTCCCGTGGGTTTCACAAGACCCAAAAGCTCGATTCCTGCAGTTTCGAGTCATGTGGAGACCAACGGGACCAGCAGTGTTACACACTTGTGTCCATACGAATGACTGTCTCCTCAAGACTTTAGTCTTTGAAAGGTCTTCCACTGCTGTGATTCTGACGCATGAAAGGCTTCGAGTGAGTTGAGCTTGAATTTAATCATAAAAGGCAAAGACTCAAACTCAAGTTGATTTATTGGACAGAAAAGCGAACATGACGATGTGAAAGCATTTTACCAGTCAATGTTTGTGTGGGCCAGTTCGTTGAAAGGTTTTCTCAAACCACGTTTACATTTTTGAGGACTTATTGATTGGCATGTATTCCCGAAGACAGTGAATCTTTTGAGGGGGAAAAGTTATTGGGGCCCTCTAGAAAGTTTCCTCCCCAATATAAAACGAAGTTTGATTTCACCGTTGTATTTTTTTCGGTGGACTGTTCTTGAAAAGTTGAGGGCCACTTCAGTCGAAGGTTTGTCATTCCTATTGGCGCCAGCAGACGGCGCCCTTACTTTTCGTTCAGACCTTTTGTTGTGTTGTTTGTTTGTTTTGAAGCGTCAACACCGTCGACGACGGGCGCGAGCCTATGGCGAGGTCGTGGTCGAATTTTACAATGATTTTTTATGTTGTTAGCTGACATTGGGAAGCGAAATCGGGTTTATTGATTCCCCTTGCCAAAAGCGGGCCCTCTGCTGGAGTTTGAGAGCGAAATGTTTCTGAGCCTCTTCAGGTGTGACGGGCTGCTCGTGGTGGCGCAGAGGCTGGGAAGAGGACGCATTCTGCTGGAGTTCATGCCGGTGGACTCGGAACAAGGCGGCCTGGTTCTACGACTGCACGCCACCAGCCCCAAACAACTCACCCCCCACCCCCCGAAGCTTGATTTCACCGCGATCCTTTCGGTTTTGCAGGTTCTTCAGCCCCCGGCCCTGTTGGGACCAGCAGAGAGCACCCCGCAAGCATCCAGACAAGACTTGCATCTCAACTCTTCCAGCGGACTTGCCCTAATCTACAAAGCATCTTGAAACAATGAATAAAGTTGGCTTGCACGTTTGGAAGTGTGCGCATGGGTGTTTTATTTGCACTTTATTCGCGATCACCAAGAAAGCAAAATGACAAAACGACACGATCTCTTTGTGCAACTCGTCTTCAATCGAAAACGAAGTTGGCTTTGCAAACTATCTCATGATCCTGATCTCAGGATGGCATTCTGGAGGCAGGCAGTCGGAAATACTGGCGGGTTCGATGGGTAATGGGTGAGGTTGGAGTGCCGTCACATCGCCAACGAGAGACGCCAACCGTCTCTCAGAGTATGTTCTTTTTTACCTTCAAAAAAAACCGCACTTGTGTGGTCAGCCGCCTTTGAATACCTCAAAAAAAATCGGAAACTTCCGTGCTCGGATGGCCTGGTGGTCAAAGACATCGCTGGGTAGGCAGGCGGCGGAAGGAGTTCGAACCTCCACCTGCTCTCCGTTTATAAATTTAGCAAGAGACGAACACTTGTTTTCCGTCACCTCGTTCAGGGGCGAAGTGAGAAATTTGAACCAGAAGCGAACACTCCACGAGAGATGCCGAGCGTCTCACCAAACATGTTCCTTTTTTTTAACCCATCCCTTTTTTAAACGCCCTATAATTATATTTAAAAATTTCGAAATTTTCGCGCCAAGATGGCCGAATGGTAAAAGACATCACGTCGTAGTCAGGCGAACCGGGTTCGAGACCCACCATGTGCTTCATTTATAAATAAAGCAAGATTCGAACCCGGGTTTCCCGGGTACCAAGTATTGTCGTTATCCGACCACGCTAATTCACTGATAAAACTTTTCGGGTGGTTGTATTTATAGACCTACACCAATTCTTCAACGGGACTACGTGATAGAAATAGATATAAAGTTTTCGTGGTCAATGTCGCAGTGGAAGGACAGTCCAACGGTATACGACAAGGATTCTTCACTGGTGAACTCAAGTTCGAGCCCCGGTGCCGCTCATAAGCAAAGCCTTCAACATTTCGCTCAAGTTTTTCTCCACACAATATCTTCATTCTCACTTCCT